AGGTGGCCGTTGGGGGTGGGGCGCTGTGAGGGTTCTGTCAGGGGCCAGGCGGCTGCGCGGGTGGCTCCCCCTTCCCTTTAGGGAGAGGAATCACCTTTATAGAGCTGGTTGCGCGTTTCTGACTGAAAAAAGGGTGGAAGTAGGCTTTTGCTGGCTTATCGTGAATTGCTTCCAAATCGTACTGGCCCTTTTCACCTGGGGTGCTGGAAAGCACCTAGCGGGTGTGGAGTGCTCCCCAGACTCCTGTAACTCTGGCCTTTAATTTCCATTTGCCTCTAGTGGTCTTATACCTGCTGTGGTGTGCTCAGTGCAGATGAGGTGTGAGGAAAAAGCTGAAAGGAAGGGATGGGCCCTTCCTGAAAAGTGGGATCAAAACTCTGCATCCACTCAGGCTGTGACTAGGACATGGAAACAGATGTGAGCCTTCACTCACAGCACACGTGAGAGGGAGCAGGGATGTGAGTTTATTGGGTTGGAGTGCACTTGGGTGGCCCTTTTGGGCATTAGCATGGTTTTTGCGTGTAGCTGTGGCCTTCACGGGTGCAGGGGAGTTTTCAGGGGGCTCCCAGGTGCCCTGCAGAGATTTTGAGTGGTCAGTTCTGGGTGCAGAGAAGATAGGACTTTCTAAGGACAGAAAATGAGCAACGCTTGCTCTTTTAAGCCATGAACTCCGTGTCAAATATTCTGTCAGCAGTAAGATATCTAGCTCTTGGGACTGTCCAGAACTCACAGGTGTGCCTTTAGCATTGCTGCTTAGGTAGCTGACTCACAGCTCCACTGACAAGGAAGGAAATCTGAAGGTGGCTGTAGTGTATGCTGTTGTGGAATCTCCTGCTGGAAAATTCAGGCTTAAAGCTGTTGGATGTGTCCACACCCTGCCCTTGTCATGGTCCTCTTTTCTAATGTTCCGTGCAAATATCTTTTAGGGATGTTGCATGGAATTTTTATTATCCTAGTCTAACTAGCATGAAAGATGGCTCCAGGGAGGAAAAAACAATATTCTGGCTGCAGAATTGTTAAGAGCTAGGCTGTTGACCATGCTTAGGGCATTTTGGTAGACCTCTTTTTTTGCAGCATTTCTGGCTTATTGTCAGTGAGTCTGGCCATTAATTAATAGGAAAAAATGCATAAATTGATAGCGAGGAGTTTTGTTTTTAAAACTGTGTTGAGGCATTTCTACAGTCTATGCTTAGGCATGTGTAGAACTATGTTGTGAAGGAGCCAGGCACGAACAGTGATTTTTGGCATCAATCTAGAGGATAATGTATGGTCATGGAGACTTTCAAAGATGTCTGAAGTCAAAAGAATGGCTGTGTACAAATTCCTTAAGAGTTTGGTGGGAATCCCAGTAGGGCCAGTGCACGATCTCCAGGTGTAGAGATTTGAGATTTTAGTTCTGCATTAGTAACGTTAGTTCCACAGCTGGAGATTTTAATGAAACCTGCCTGAGAAGGATTGTAGAAGCAAATTACTTGGTATTGCAGGACTTAGGGTAGGTTCAGGGAATGAGGAAACAGATGATAAGGGGATCAAAGAGAAGACCAGTTTATTAAAACCCAGAATATAATAGCAGATGTACAAAAATTACATTACTGAGCATAATGGAGAATTAAAACAATGCAGATGTTGCTGACTAAGATGGGAAATGGGAAGACATGCATCTTAAGAATTGAGGCAACATGAGGACAGCCAGTCACTGTAGCTGCAATCATTTTATTTACTTCTACTGCTGCTGCATGAAGGAACAGGTATACTGTTTGTTTTTGTTCACCATCTTTTTATCTCTGGTTCCCTTAGAGAGTATGTGCAACAGTTGTTCTGTTTGATATAGATGTGAAATTTGCCATAATTTTTTCCCTGTAATTGATTTTGCCAATTCATGTGAAAGGTATTGCAGATTTTAAATCCGAGGATTATATCTTTATGGAAGCAGTGACATGAGACTGATAAATAATAATAACAATAATAAAAAAAAACAATTATGATAATGCTCCTGGTTGTTTTTTGAAAAGATCAAAGGAATTGATCTCTTCTCTGGAGTTTGGGTGCCTTCACATGGCAGAAATCAGTATGGTGTTGCATGGAGTCTAAAATGGTAATAACAGCTGGTAATGCCAAGGAGTCTGCAAAATGTGAGGCTAGAGCTTGGGGTCTGTTGTGGCAGAAATTACTAGGTGTACTATGTAAGTGTGAAATCTGAAGTAAATGTAGGAAAAAGCTTGGAAAAAACCCCAAAATCTAAACCTGAGGAGGTCCTGTGAGATTCCTTATTACCCTAGGCTTCTTGCAGCATTAAATGACAAATATGTTGACTAGCTGACTACCTGGTAGGGTTGCCTGTTTATTTCATAAATAGAGCTGTTGCCCATCAAACTGTAATGTGCTAAAGCATCTAGATCAGACGGGTTGTGATGGACTTTGTAGGAAATTCTAACTGGAGCTGGTCTGCAGGAAGGTGTTCTTTTGGCATATAAAAAGGAATGCGTCAATGTCAAGGCTTTACCTTTTGGAAAATTTTGTCAGTTTATAGATTGGAGACCTGTCCAAAGTCACAGTCCAAAGTCCAAAGAAAAATAGTCACAGACATGGGCTGAAATACATAGTTTGGAAGATTTATTTCCTTGGTGAGAGAGAGGGATTAAGAAGGTATGATTTAACCAGAATTTTAATTGGGCTTTTAGATAAATGGTTGGGCCAGGAACTGCTGTCTACAAATACCTAATGGGAGGATGTAGAAGAGATGGAGCCATACTCTTGGGAGGTGCGTAGCTGAAAGGGCAGTAGGTTTAAGTCTTTCTTTAGTCTAAATGAATTTCCTTATCCCAGAGTTTCATATCCTAATGCAGGTAATTATTGCCTTTTTTGTTCATAATATTCTTCAAGTTTTGAGGAAAAAAAAACCTTAACAACAAGAATTTGAGTGGTAAGTTTGTACGTACATGGTAGCTGCTTGAGGTTATGTTTTTTTGGTTCCCTTTTTGCTTTGAGAGAGATAATAATGCTTATGTTACATGCCATAAGACACTCATGCCTCTAATGCAGCAATAAATACCCTCCTAGAGGTATTAAAAATAATTTACAGTGAGGTGGGTCAAACTGCAAGATTTTCCAAAGCATGTAGAATGGGCTTGTGGTCTGGCAGCAAAATCTATAGAAAATTTGTGATGTAAGAAAATGGGGTATGGAAATCCAGACAGGTCTTGTGGGTTAGCTAAGAATTTTCTCATAGACCCAAGTGTGACTCCTGTGAAAGCAATCCTATTCAAACCTATCTGGGTTTCAGGTTGTTTTTTATTTCTCATTTCTCAGCAAATAGTTAAGCTCCTGAGAGCCAGCTGGCTTTCAGATGTTACTCTGGTTATACCTGACTCTCATGTCTGTGTGCACCAAACCAAAGACAAAGTGAAGACCTTGTACCCTGAGTTCATAGCTTGTCATACCGGGAAAGTGTTAAAATTCTGATTGCCAAATACCGCTCAGCCTAGCCTGGTTTTTCTGTCTGTGGGTTGGGGGAAGAGCCCTCTTTCCTGCACACAGTGGAGTGGTTCATATATGTAGTATCTTCTGTCTACTATTCTGCACTCAGGTTTCCCAGACAAAATAAATAATTGATTTACTTTGGGTAAAAGCATATGAGTGAACTAGTGTGTATGTGATGGAGACAGCCAGGGACTAGTGTGAAAAAAGGAGTGAACGAACTTGGTGGTATATAGTCTTAGCAAGTATCTTGTACAAAGATAAACCTTTAACAAACAAGCTGTGTCCTCTTCATGCGAGGAGCCAAAATGAGATCTGAAATGTCCAAACCATCAAAATAATTTTAAGATCATCGGTAACTTGTTATTCCAAATGAACATATGTCATGTCAAAGACTTGCTAGTCACCTCTCATTTCATTTCGCCGTTTCTGGAAGTCGCATTTTAGTGGGACTAACTAATATACGTAGTGTGCCAAGAGATGCACTGTAATGTCTTTGGGAGCACTCCACTGGTGATATCACCAGAAGATCCCACAGGGCATCATTTCAGTTCTTCAGATTGCTGCTTTTGGAGGGGAAAAAATAATAGGTGGAACAGAGTTTCAAAATTTTCAAGCATCTTCTCGTTCCCTCCACCCTGACATTAAATTTTATGTTTGTAGAAAATTGAACCACCACATTATAAGCTTTACGTTGCTCCTCACAATGAGGATATGAATGGAAAATTCTTATTACATGAGATAAAACTGGGTAATATTTGGAGAAACAGTTCTAACTTGAGACACAAAAGAAAATTTTAGAATTGCAAGCACAATTTTTGTGAGATGCTGTATACTTTTCCACATCATTACTTAGTTTTTCAGCTACACTTGAGGATGTTTCATTAGTTTTATTCTAAAACTGTGCCAATAAAACACTGACAGAAATATTTGTGAATGGTGATTGTCTGCTCCAAGCCAAAGTGTTTGCTGAAGGCAGATTCTTTGCAAGATATGCTGTTTCAGGATAACAAGCAACTGCCCTCCTACTCCAAATTTTTTGATGGAACTTTTTTTTTCTTCCTGTGCATGTGGTTTTTCTTTGCTTTCCATCATGACCCGAATACAT